TGCATTTATGACAAAAGGTCGCTAATTTGAGTATCAAATTGTTTTTGATTGATGCAGTCATTTTTAAAAACCCGAAAATTTGGTCGAAATTCGTTTCTCGGTCGAAACTTTTGCAAAAACCTAGGATCTTCGTCAATTGTTTAGCTTGCATGTGATTCAGCACATTATGTTTACGTTCTCAGTATTCCTACCTGCATAGCTGATTATGCTAGTGTTATAAACAAAAGCCTATGAATTGTCTCAATCAACTGAATTACACACGTCCCAAATGTCAAAACTAAAAACATAAAGCCCGTCGAAATCTGCTATTAAAACTTAGCTTTTTTTTATCTAACTGTTAAAAGATCTTCTTTGCATGCTAGGACAGATATCCTTCGTTTTGCCATTTTTAAAGAATTTCCTGCCAGTGATGCGCTCCTGTTTAGCTTTGGAGAAACGGAGATTGGGCGCCTCGGTGATATTGTAATTTCTAATCCGTACAAATTCTCTCTATCAGCACTCAACTCGCAATCGTTTAGATTTAGACTATCTACACAAGTCCTTCAATTATGATTTTAAAAAAGTCAAACTGCAAGGTTCATAAATGCCACTTACCCAACCTATCTGCATCTCCATTCGTCTCAACACTGAAAACGCTTTGCTGATCAGCTACACCGCCTTCTAATCCAGGTCCAAATGCTCTCACACGGGAGTTTGTCGGTGGCGCGATGTTAACCTAAACTGACACTTTCATGTTCTATAAGAATAAGCTGCATGTAAAGAAATCCTACCTTATACGGTGTCTGCCCTATAGGTTCATTATTATTTGTAACATAAACAAGGTGTTTGCCGGTAGTTGTTGGGGTATAGATAAACGTAGACCGCAGGCCTTCCTTACTTCGGCGAACAGGTAATTCAAGACCAGAATCTATAACAGCTCTTTTCTTCAATCACAAGCGAAAGCCTGTATTAAGGAGCTGAATTTACATCTAATCAAAACGCTATATCTGGATCCATAACGAATACAAATTTTCCGCAAATAGTCTTAATGAAAGAGCGGGATAGAATACCTTATGTAAGAAGATAGCAATTACTTCTATCAATTCCACAGTTTTTTTTCTGAAGTTTTCGCTCTAAGCTGCTGAAATTTATCAAGGACACAGAGGC